ATTTAAACAGTTGGTTATTAATAGAGATTCCAAATTGAACATGGCACCAATTTGTTACACTTGTGAAGAGAGAATATGTGGAAGACAGAATCATGAGAAATGTCAGCTTTGCTGTCATTTATTTAAAATACACAAGAAATGTTTGGATTATAAACATTTGTTTTCATTCACTTATCCTGAAGCAAACATTAAAGGGTGTGTTTTTCACTGGACACAGGCAATATACAGAAAGATTCAAGTAATACTTTAATTTAGCATGTGAGCTCTAGATAGAACTGACATATTTATTTCCAGGAATTAGGATTATGTAAGATGTACAAGGAGAAAAAAGCTGAATATAGAATCATGTAGAAATTAATGGCATTACCATTCCTGCCCTCTGATCTGATAGAACCAACATTTAAGACTATTAAAGAAATAAGTGCTATTGAAATGAAGTCTCTATTGGAGTACATTGAGACACAATGGATAAATGGATTTTATAAACCAGAGGTATGGTCTGTATATGGTGAGGCTATAAGGACAAATAATGATCTTGAAGGCTGGCATCACAGGCTTAACAAGAATCTTTGCTCGAACACTGCATTCTATTTGCTTTTAGATGAACTGAAAAGAGAAGCTGATCTGATAAAGCTATATAAAAAATTACTGAGTGAAAAGAAAATTTGTAGACAGCAAAGGAAAGCATATCAGAATATTCAAAGCAAAATATTCAGCTTATGGGAACAATTTGAAATTGCCTCAATTACCTCCCTGGACTTACTTGATAAAGCTTCTGACATTTATTCACCAGTTTAAAATACCTTTATTCTTTAATGTTGTTACACTGTTGTCAATCATTCTTGTTATAATGCTTCTTTTTACTTAATCAATATATTAATATTTAAATATTTGTAATTCATATTATTCATTTTTTCCTGTCAAATTGCTTTAAAAACTCCATCTATCAAATATCTTATATCTTACTTTGAAGTTCTATAGTGGATGTTTTCTCCAGTGGACATTTTCTCCAAGCAGTGGATGTTTTCTCCAAACAGTGGATGTTTTCTCCAGTGGACGTTTTCTCCTGTACCCCTTTTTATCAACCAATTAAAAACTAAGAATTGTGAAGGGAAAAGAAAATTACAAAGATTTTCAAATTTTGAAACAGTTTTTCGAAAACCAATATTGGAAGATGACATTAATTTTCTATCTGTTATTTTTTGTGCAATAATTTGAAGTTTTTCATTGAAAATATCATATAAAGTCAATGACAGGTATGTTGGCACACCTCGAATTTTGATAGGCGAAATATTAATAATCCTTTTCATTATAAATAAAGATTATTATTTTTATTTTCTTAGTCTTAAATTATAGATTAAACCTGAAATATTATATAAGTTTCTCTCAGAAAGCATTTAGGTAAGTTTTTACATATTTTTTTTTTATAAAAATTACTATTATTTTACAATTTTTTTTCTTATTTGGCCAAATGACATGATTATTGGCACATAATCTTTTGAGTTCAAATTTTCTTTATCTTTGTATGTGCCGACCCTCCCTTTTGATACATTTACTAATCCTATGGCCCATTCGGGGTCAGGACAATTCGGTCTGGGACAATTTGGCCTGTTTTGGGACAATTCGGTTTGTTTTGGAACAATTCGGTCTGTTTTTGGGACAATTCAGCCTGTATTTAAATTAAGAAAATTACACTTTTTTTAAAACTCAAACAATATATAACACCAGTTTATTTCATTATGTAATGGAACTGTTACCAGTTTTTTTGTGTATATTTTATTTCTTTAACTCCAGTGAAAGCTTTTTTGATTTTAAAGAACTAAAAATTGATTATTAATTGATAATATTAAAGTGTGAAAAAAGAAAATTCAATTGTACATAATGAATTTAAAAACATGCTGGTTGTGTACAAAGAAATTTTATTGGAATCAACAGAAAGTAAGATGCAAACTTTGCAAGCATTTTTATCATAGAAAGTGTTTGAAAAGTAAGTAAATATTTTTCTTTTCTTTCCTTTTTGTAAAACTTACATATCTTTAATCAGAAAATGATTATTGTGTTGATTGCTTCAATGTTAGAAGACAAAAAGTTTTAATTAAGTTAAGAAAAATTGTTGAGAAAAAAAATGAAAGTCATTCAAATGAAAGTCAAAATGAACTGGGTGCTATGAATAATGAACAATTTCATGAAGAAAATCAACAAGTAAATAACTTGTAACTTTTCTCAGTTGAAAAATTGTTAAAATTTTGTTATTTCAGTTGAGACTATCCTTCAATTTTGAAAATTGTATTGAGGATCTATCTGAAGAAGAAAATAATAATTCAAATAACTGTGATCAAGATCAAAGAGTTGACATTCAAGATGAAGTATCATTTGATACAAGCAAGGAAATAAGTGTTTATGAAGCAAATGAAAATGATTTTGAAATTGTCAAGAATGGAAGTAAAAGAGGAAAAGATATTTTATTGCATAATAATTTTTCCTTCTCACTAAAAACAAAAAGCTCTAACATTTGGAGGTGTTCACAAAGATCTAAAAATGAGACCTGTAATGCTTATATTATTCAAAAAGGTTCAAAATTTCTAATAAAAATCCTAAAGTTGATTTACAAGGATGTGCTTTCCATTTTAAGCAATCAATTTTCAGAAACATTCAGGTATTATTAATTCAAAATTAAAGTATAAATAATTTTTAGCCTTTTTTTTGCAGAAGCTGGGTTATATCAATGACTATAATAATAAAAACTATGGAGGAAAAATGCTGAGAAAACTCATGTGTCTCTCATATATCCCACATAAATGCATTGTTTCAACATTTAATGAAATAAAGTATGAACTCTTAGAGAAAAATTTATATGGAGATTTAGTAGATTATATGGAAAGGACCTATATCTATAGCAACATTTGGAAACCAAAGTATTGGTCTGTGTACAACATGACCATCAGAACTAACAATAATGTTGAAGGATGGCACTGCAGACTAAATACAGCAGTAAGAGCAAATGAAAATTTCTACAATCTTGTAAATGAATTAGCCAGAGAAGCTGATTTAATTACAATTTATAAGAAGCTACTTTCTGAAAACAAGTTAAAGGGAATGCAAAGAATAAAACAAGCCTACCTATAATCTAAAATATTTAATTTATGGGACAACTTGGAAACTAATAAAATCACTTTAGATAATCTTTTAGATAGATTAGCGGAGTTAAACATTGCATGATTATTAAGTTTAATAGTAGTTGTTTGTAATTTTGTGTTTTTTTTGTATGTTTTGCTTGTAGTGTTTTGATATTTAACATTCTATACATCAATAGCAAATATTAATAAAGATAAACATTGTTCAAATTACAGTTTTGAATATAAATTTATAGGTTAAATTGTCCTGAAAAGGCTGGATTGTCTCAAAATTCACTGAATTGCAAATAGGCCGAATTGTCCCAAAAACAGGCTGAATTGTCTCAAAAACAGGCCAAACTGTCCCAGGCTGAATTGTCCCTACATGGCCCATTCCATCATACAAGTTTGGAAGCAACTCTGGATTCTTCTTTATGAGCTCATAGGAACACTGTTTAATTTTTTCCCATAATTCATCCTCTGACTCAAACTGTTGCCCATCCTAGACCATTGTTTTTGTTAGGTGCCACATGTTTTCGATCAGGCTAAGGTCGGGGCTCCTTGCTGGCCAATCAATGGTCTTAATTTCATTTTTTTTAAAGGCCCTTGCTGTTGCTCTTGCTGTATGGCAGCCAGCATTATCTTGCTGGAAGATGTACTTCCTGCCCATTTTTACCTCAATCTCTTCTATAACAGGAAGAACATCTTCCACAATGAAGGAGCTATAAATTTCTGCATTTAATCTTTTCTTTATCATCCATAATTCAAATATGCTGTCAGATGTGATCAACCCCCAGACCAATACTCTGCCTCTTCCCATATTTTTCGTCACCCTAAAGTCCTCTTGGCTATTGTTGGTCCAGGTCCTAAAGTCATCAGGTCCACTTAGTGAGAATCTAGCCTCATTGGTGAAAATTACTCTAGACCAGTCTAGATTATCACTAATCATTTTGAGGCAATATTCTTTTCGCCAGTTACAATCTTTAGAGGTGAGATCTGTTCTTTGCCTGATTCTAGTATTTGAAATTTTGCCTTTTTAGCTCCCTCTAACATGGTTCTAACATTTACATCTACTTCTAATTCTTTCAAAACCTTTGCTGCTGTCACCCTTTGCTTATTATCTTTCAGCTTCTTGATGATCCTTTTCATCCTGGCTATCTCTCTGTCTGAAAGCTTCTTCCCTATTGTCTTGCTCTGGCTCTTTATAGTTGATGGTGTTTCTTACTGATGATGATGCCATTCCTAAAACCCATGCCATGGCCCTTAATTTCCCTATTTCTGCATATTTTCTGACTATGAGCTCTCTAATATCTTTATTCCACACCATTATTAAAAAAAGTAGTATAACTATAATATACAGTAATTGAAAAAGTCTATAACTAAGAAACTTAACTTAAAAAAACAAATAAGTTGAAAAAAAAGCTGTTTGAGATGTCTATTTGAATGCCAAACCAGATGTCAAGGAAGTGTGCCAATAATTGTGTCGTTTGGCCAAATAAGGAAAAAACTTATGAAAATTCCTAGAAATATTTTGCTAATAATATTTACAAAATATGATGATTTTGTCAAATTTTCTGTAATATTATGTAAATATAACTCTTTTTCTATATAAATTTAGACAAATAAAATACTTTACTGCGAACAAACATTTTTAACTGTTAATTACAAATTGGCCTATCAGAATTTGGGGTGTGCCTATATACATGTCATCTACTCTATATTGTTTGGATGATTTTCTAACAAATATAGAGATAACACAAGGAAAACTATCAATTCTAAAAGAGATTGGAGAAGTTACAGGAATTTCTTCCTTGCAACAACTGTATTTGTCCTTTTGGATCTTTTATCCATTTGTACTCACACAAATAGAATTAAAGGTTAAATGAATCAATGTATTGAAGGTAACTACAGGGTTTTGCCAATAGAATATGTATTCATTAAATGACTTGCAATCTGACACTATAGTCTAAAGTCTTCCAGCTAAAGATTGAAGAGACTGACAAGCTTTGTAAATGTGTGGAAAAAAACAAACTTGAAGACAAAATGTCACAATTTTTAAATACATATCTTAATGTTCTTTGTTCCTTTGCCAAATCAATAGTGGCTCCATCTACTATAATTATATAAACATAATAAAACAAACAGTTTTATAAAAATAAATGTCCATTAATCGGGATTGTCATCTATTGAAATGATTCCACCTTTTGTTCTGCATAGTTTACAACTAGACGAGTCTTCTTCTCAATTAAAAGGACAGTTTCTCCAGTTTCTGATTGGTGCCGCATAGTATATCTTAAATTAGATGGATCATATATGTGTTTGTTTATTGTCTCAATAGCTTCTCTAACATCATCAGACACATCATCAGGCATTAAATATCTTAAATTATGACTGTATGAATTCTCTGAAGACTTTAGGAAGTTGAGAGATTTAAGAGCCTTTTCACAAGCCTGGAATTATGTGTTTATTACATTTTTGACATTGGCAAAAATTAAGATTTAAAAAAAAGATAATAATACAAACTTGATGACATTTATATAATGCCCATCTGCTTTTTGTATAATCACTTGGAACTGCTTGTAAGTCATCCTTTGCTAATTCAATATATTGCTTTGCACAAAATGGGCTTGGATATGAGCTGGAATTTCTCGATACAGATTTGAACATTGCTTGTGCCTTTATTCTTTCTCTTACAGTAATTTCCAGTTTTCTTTATAAAAAAAATAATAGAATAATCAGACAAATAATCAAAAACTACTTAAAGTTGTTACTTACTCTTCGATAAATTGTATTACTTCTGGTGTAAAATTAGTCAGTACAATGTCATAAATAGTTGCTTTCATATCAATGCATTTATCTTTGTACTTGTCTTCATGTTTTTCTTCCAACCAGTTGAAGAATATTTCAATTATACACTGATATAAAAACAACAACAACATTAACAATTGATTTTAATTTCATTGGCAAGCCAAAACAAAAACACATACCTTTTTTTGTACTTCTACATCAAATTGTTTTAATGATAGTAGATCTCTTTCTATTGAAGTCTTATTACAATTCATTACATAATATTCAATTTTTCCTTTATTATTATCAGTGTTGGTGTAAAATAGATCATATCCTTTTGCTTTTATATACCTTTGTGGTTGATATTCAATAGTGTATTCATTATTCCAGATGTTGTCTTCATCAATTGAAACAATTTCAATTATCTGACAAACTCGAAATATAGCTTTGTATTGTTCATTAGTAATATTTGTAGCCAAGAAACTATTTAGACTGGTTGTTTCCTGAAATATGACCAATTCATTTATTTCAAATTTTAATTTTAGGAGAAATAGGCCTAAAATCTCTCCTTCAAGCAAAATTTGACCAGGAATAGAATCATTTTCTGCACATTTTTGCATAGTGAAATTCTTGTTATCTAATATTTTTGGTATATCATTAATATTATGAGTATAAAGACAATTGAAAAGAACTTCAATAACTCTTTCATTATCTTCTAACAAATCAAACAATAGACGATCAGCTAACTCTTTGGCCTGTTCTCTCCTATCATTTTCCAATATATCATTTTTAATATCCATATTTAGATAAAATACAATCTGCTCTTTAGTTTTGTTTTCAATAAAGTAGTTGGAGTTTACAATATGATTTTCACTTTTAAAACTCAATGAAATATTCAGATTTGACACTAATTTCATTTCAATATTTGTTAATCTTTTTAGATATCTTTCTTTAACATTTTCAAGTCCAATTTGACAAATCATTGAAATCAGAGCTGTTTTTAATGGCATAGATCTCAAACGACTTTTCCAAAAACTTCCAACACAGCTGTTTTGTATATTAAATTGAGACTCTTTAAAATTTTCAATCTTTTTTTCAACAACTTCAGACAAAATTTTTGGCCAAAATGTTTTAATCCAATTATAAAAGAACAGTTTTGATGAAATCAAGTCGAAGCATTCAATAGAATTATGCTTTATCAGTTTTTCTTCGAATTGTTCCTGTAGTTGTATATCAATAAAATAAAGTTGCTGAGAAGGTTTCAGAAAGTAATTGCCATTGTTTCCTTGCGTTATCAGATACAGTTGAGATTCAATTTCATCAATTTTTTTTGTTTGAATCATGCATTGAAGATGTTTTATTATTAATTTAACTGCACATAATTGTTTTTCATTTAAAGGAGCATTATGCTGATTAGTATCTTTATAAATTTCACTCAGAATGTTACATAAGCCTTGAGGGTTAATCTTTTTCATTAATCCTATTTTATGTAAGAATTGTTGATGTTCAAATAAGTATTCAGGTCTCTTATAGAAATATCCAGGAATATCGTATAATATACTTTGATCTTCGTGCAAACTCTGTATTTTGACCATATCAACTAATTTACTATAATCATCGTTGAAAATTGGTACTTGTAGAATATTTATAACATTTTCTATTGGTTCCTTAGTCTTAGCTAAATATTTTAAAATATATTTGTATATTTCAATGCTTGTCTTTACTTTATTACAATTGTTTTCTATTTCTATTTCTTTCCTTAAAATTTCATTTAAACTTTGCAGGTTTGATTGAAAATCTGCAATAGAAACTTTATGTTTAACACGAAATTTTTCAAGAATTGAAAAATTAGTTAAAGGAAGTATGGTGATTTGGGGAAGCATATGAAAAGCTATCCAAAACAATGCATATTTCTCCTCATGACAATTTAAATATGAATTTTTGATTGGAATTAAACATTCCGCTGATTTGCTCAAGTCTTTATATTCATTTTTAACTTCACAAGGATAAATAAAGGGATAATTAATAATTTTTTCCAACTGATCATCAGTCCATTCAGATAAATCATTGTCAAAAAGATATTGAAGTATCTGCACATCATATCCTTCTTTTGGATGTTTTGCAGCTATTTGACAGAATTTCAAGCAAATTTCAGCTGTGATAATCTCATTCATTCCTAAAGCAATCAAAAGATTCTCTATATCAAAATAAGGATTCTTATAATAAATATAAAACTCTGTTTTTTGTAATATAAAGTTTTTATAAATTGGAATTCTTTTAAAATCAAACATCTTTTCAAAATTACTAAAATTCATACTAAACGTATCCGATGGTTTTCTATATTCTCCATCTAAACATTGAACAAATTCAATGGATTCTAGAGTTTTAGTGTCATACTTATGTTTTTTCTTCTTCAGTTCCGGTTTCAGACAGTCTGATAATTTTTCTAGGTATTGAACTTGCTGTTCTGTTGTAAAATTCTTGAAATGTTTTAAAATATATTTTTCAAAGAAGTAGACTTGTGAAACAAGCTTGGCTTCATCTTGAAGTAAAAATTTTCCAATATAAGAATCCTTGTATATTTTATAGTCTAGAATTTCAATATTATCATTAGATTTCCACAAATTATCATTTGTAAAGTCAGAACTCAAACTATTGTCCAAGAAATAAATAATCTTATTATTTAAAGATATAAATTTGTTATCAATTGTTTTAAAAATTGGTAAATGAAGTAGCTTTTTATTACAATTCTCTTCTTCAAGTTTTAAAAGCCCACAAAATATATTATTTAAATGTTTTTTTTCCAACTTTTCATAATTTAGTTTTGGTAAAATATTTCCATCATATAATGTTAAACACAATATAAAATCAGAAGTGTTATGATAACTGGAAAAAATGAAATTTTGAAAATTTTGTAAAAGTTTCACTAAAATCTCATTGTTGATTGGTTGAAAAATATTTAAATTTTTAATTATTTCATAATTTTCAACACAAATTGCTCTACCATACTTTATGCCAATAATGTAACTTTTGTCTGCCGATTCACAAGGTAGTGTACAACTTTGGTTATATTTTACATGCTTGAACTCTATTATTTTATGCAACATATACATGTACATCTTAAAACCTACGCAAGAAAATGCTATAACATTGGCCAAACATAAGTCTGATTAGTCAGCTTGAAGGTTCATCTTTAATTACCAATAAAGGTTTGGCCAAGTTATAATTTAATTAACTTGCCTAGGGTGTGGCCAAGTTATAATTCAATTAACCTTCCTAAATGTTGAACCTTGTAACATCCTGTTACTAAAGATAAATATGAACTACACATTTCGGCAACTGTAAAGTGATGATTGGATGTCAGAGACAAACCTCAAAGTATATAAATCCTCATTATTCTCATTTGGCATGCAGCTTCCATCTGGACCCAAGGACCTGGGAAAATCATCTGGAAACAACCTCCACTGGAACCTTCCATCTACTCCTCAACATTGGAAGACAGTTTGGTAATTTGGCAACCTGCTATTACAAACTATCTACTCTGCTATTGAACTCTCATATTGTTACTTGCTTAAGTATTATTATTGCGAATAAACCATTTTAATTTAAACATTTGTTTAAAGGTTCGAGTAGAACCAGTATTGTTATAACTTGCAAACGCATAGATTTTGCCAGCAAGAGCAGTACAAATTTGGCGCAGTCGACAGGATATTCTTTTGGTTTATTCAAAAGTTTTGAGAAAGTAAATATGGCAGAAGAAGGAAATGGAAACGCCACTGGGGCAGTTACAGACTCTAACCCTTCAACCCCAGCAACTCCAACAATTACAATTCAGCCAGCAGGAATGTCAGAAAGGCAACAAAGACTAATTGAAGACTATGATAGATTGGTGAGTGAAATGAAAAGAAATCGAATCACAATTCCAACAGATCATGGAGATGGAACACATCACCCAGCACAGAACCCAAATGTTGATATCACAACAGTAATTCAAGCATTAAGGGCTGCTTGGGACCGCCCTCAAAGAACTATTCTCAAGTTGTATGATGGAAGCAAGGAGTGTTCAAAATTCAAAGAAGACTTTAATCAGGCATGTTATGCTTATGGTTGGATAGGAGAAGATGTTGTGAAAGCAAATCTTTTAGATTATTTAACTGGTCCTGCAAAGGATTTGGTGTTGGCTCTGGATGGAGAGCCTACTGTGGAGGAAATATGGAAAGCCCTCCATGACGAATTTGATCTAGATCCTTTGGAGTATCAGGAGAAATTGCTTAACTTAAAGCAAATGAATGGCGAAAGTGTGGTTCAGTTTGTTAATAGAGCAAAGAAATTGATAAAGAGGTTTTCTCCACCTAGACCAATGGAACCACAATTGCTTGCAACTATGAAAGAAATAAAACTGATGGAAGTTTTACAAAGAGGATTACAACAGGATATTCTACATTTAGTGTACACCTTACATCCTAAATGTCAAACATTGGCAGAACTATATGAGGCTGCTAAGCAAGCAGAAACTTCATTAAAACTAACTCAAAGAAAACCGATCACAATGGTGTCAAAATTGGAAACTCAACAAAGAAAAGAGACCAAAAAGACCCAGGTAATCAGAAAAGATGCTTCTACAGAAACCCCAAATTTCTGGAATAGAAAGCATGTACCTGACAACAAAAATGCTACTAAAGAAAAGTTTTCAAGCCAAAAAGTCCAAAAGTATGCACCAACTACAACAAATAGGTATTATAAGAAAAATCAACCAGCAAAGACAATACTGAAAGAGGAACCTAAGCTACAAAAATTAGAAACATTAGACAATGAAAGCATGTCAGAAAACGACGAAGTTCAAGATATTCTCTGTTTTTCAGATAGTGATGAATCCACTTGTCAGCTGTTACAAAGCAAACAATCTGAGCGAAATGCTTCAACATTTATTGGACAATTTGAAACTAATACAGGTTTTAAGTTTGATGCCTTGATAGACTCTGGTAGTGACAGATCTTTCATTTCAAAAAAGGTATTAAGACAAGTTCAAGGAAAAGCATCCTTCCCAGAACAAACTGTGAAAAATGCTAGAGATGCTTCAGGAAATAGCATCGAGATATGTGGAGAAATCATTCTCAGACTTTATTTTAATGAAAAGATTATTAAACAACGCTTTCTGATCAACAAAATCATTACACAACAATGTATTATTGGGTGTGACTTTCTACAACAAAATGGAGCTACCCTTGACTTTGGCAAGAGACAGATTATACTCCAGCCAGGTACAGAAAAGAATTACCCTGTTGGAACACAACACTTATCTTTCAAAGGGTTTTACCCAGTTCCTCTTATTATGAAAAAGAATGAGAGTCAAATACATACCCTTCAGACAACAATTGAACAAGAAAATCCCGAGATGAAGAACAAAGTTACCCAAATTCTGGCAAAATATAAAGAAACTATTGCAGAAGACAGATTTGATATTGGCAATCCAGAGGTACCACCCTTGGAAATAACTCTTGAACCAGGTTCAACACCATATAGACAAAGGCCATATAGAATGCCTCCTCAAAAACAAGAAGAATGTAAGCAACAGATAGCTGAATTGGTAAAAAGCAAAGTTATTCAACCAAGCAAGAGCAATTGGGCTTCACCAATTGTTTTCGTAAGAAAGAAGGAAGGTAGTCTACGAATGTGTGTAGATTATAGAAAACTAAACAAAATGACAGTTAAAAACAAGTATCCACTGCCAAATCAAGATGATCTTTTTGACCATTTGGGAGGAGGAAATAAATTCTTTTCTACAATGGATTTGACAAGTGCATACCACCACATTAACATCAAGAAAGAAGATAGGTCTAAAACAGCATTTATTACACCTTTTGGCTTGTTTGAATTTATTAAGATGCCTTTTGGATTAACCAATGCCCCTCCTCATTTTAGTTATGTAATGAATTCATTTGTGCTAAAGGATGTAAAGCATTTGTGCCTAAACTACCTTGATGACATAATAATATTTACCAAGTCGCTGGACCAACATTGGGAAGCATTGGAGACCATTCTTCAACAGATTCAAAAGTACAATTTTAAGATTAAACTAAGTAAATGTGTGTTTTTGAAAGAACAAGTTCAATTCTTGGGACACATTGTATCAGAAAAGGGGATTGAAACAGATAAGTCCAAGACAGATAAATTATATAATTTACAGCCACCAGTGTTTGCAAATTCACTACTAAGCTTTGTTGCATTTTGTGGCTATTACAGAAAATTTATACAAGATTTTGCAAGAGTAGCTAAACCTCTGTATATGTTAATGAAACTACATGGGAAAAAGGATAAATTGCAATGGACTGAGGAAGCCAAGCAATCATTTTTCAAGTTGAGAGATGCAGTAGTTAACCCTCCTGTATTACAACTACCTGATTTTGCTAAAGATTTTCACTTAACAACAGATGCATCGAATGTAGCTGTAGGAGGAGTTCTTGAACAAGTTTATGTAGATGAGAATGGGAAGAAAACAATGAAACCCATTGCCTACGCTTCAAAACAATTCAACAATAATCAAATGAAATATGCAGCCTATCAAAAGGAAGCATTTGGGTTTACTGGGTTGTAAAGAAATTTTTACATTACCTTCAAGACAAGCCATTCTTTTTATATACTGACCATCAGAGTCTAGTACAAACATTTAAGCAAAACAAATTGAATGTCAGCACAGCAAAATGGGTCATGGCTTTAATGGATTTAAAATTTACAATTAACTATGTGACAGGACGAAAAAATAGAGCAGATGCATTAACAAGATTAGAAGAATATACACCCCCAAGGAAAGTAACATTTGAAGAAGCTAATTCATGGAAAGATCAAAAAGGAGAATTCTCCCTCTATTTCAGTTAAAATGGAACAGTATGAACATACACCAGAGTTAACTTTTGTAGCTACCAGTGATAACAGTGAAGAGAAAATTGATTTGTCTTCTGTTGACTTACAGTCAGAGCAAGAAAAAGATGTGAATTTAAAATCAATTAAAGAATATTTAACATTGGGATGGTCAGCTACCTATTCCTTATTTTGGAACTTTTACACCTTTCATAATGGAGATGTTTGTTCACAAGGAAATGATCTGGATTATCCTTGAAGAAAGAAACATTCTGGTTTTACCTGACCATTTGATGCTAACTCTGCTCCCTAAATTCCATAAAAATAAAATTCACAATCACCATGGACCCAGAATGACATTACAAATAATTACAAAGACCTTTTGGCACCCAAAATTAAAGATTATGATTGAGAATTCAATAAAGGATTGCACTTTGTGTGAACAAATGAATGGTAGGAGTAGAGTATACCCTTTGGTAGAAACCTTTCACCCTGCATCACCAATGGAGTTGGTAGCCATGGATATAATGGGACCCTTACCCATGGTTAAGTCATACAGATTCATACTTGTGATAGTGGATCATTTCAGTAGATACACAGTTTTATATGCACTCAAACAGCAAACCAGTAAAGAAATTGCAAACCTTCTTTTCAACAGATTTTTTCCCATTTTTGGAATTCCAAAACAAATGTTGACAGATCAAGGAAGAAACTTTGTTGGTAAAGCTTTTAAAGAGTTTATGAAGGTATTAGGTATTGAGAAAATCCAAACAACAGCTTATAGAAGCCAGAGCAATGGACTAGTTGAACGAAGAAATAGAGAAGTGAGGAAGGAAATCAATAAATTAGTGGTGGAAGAAAATCAGCATAACTGGGTTGCAAACCTACCCTTGATTCAAGCATTTTTG